CAGTGTGCTCAAGCTTTTACACGTCCCAGTTGTCTTCAAAGACATTACAGAACACATACTAAAGAAAAACCCTATGAATGTAATCAGTGTGGTAAAGCTTTTACATTTAACAGTCATCTTCGAAGTCATAACAGAACACATACTAAAGAAAAACCCTATGAATGTAATCATTTGGTAAAGCTTTTACACGTTCCGGTAGTCTTCGACAACATAAAAGAATACACACTGGAGAGAAGCCCTATGAATGTAATCAGTGTGGTAAAGCTTTTGCATATAACAATCTTCTTCAGTGTCATAACAGAACACATACTAAAGAAAAACCCTATGAATGTAATCAGTGTGGTAAAGCTTTTACACGTTCTGGTAGTCTTCGACAACATAAAAGAATACACACTGGAGAGAAACCCTATGAATGCAATCAGTGTGGTAAAGCTTTTACATGTCACAGGTATCTTCAAAGTCATAACAGAACACATACTAAAGAAAAACACTATGAATGTAATCAGTATGGTAAAGCACATCATAGTAGTCTTCAAGAACATAAAAGAATACATACTGGAGAGAAAACCTATGAGTGTAATCAGAGTGGTAAAGCTTTTACACGTCACAGCCATCTGCAAAGTCATAACAGAACACATACTGGAGAGAAACCATATAATGTCGTCAGTGTGATAAACCTTTTCATATCACAGTGATCTTTGGAAACATATAAGAAATCATACTGGAGAGAAACCCTATGAATGTAGTCAGTGTGGTAAAGCCTTTTCATATCACTATAGTCTTCAAAAGCATAAAAGAACACATACTGGAGAGAAACCCTATTAATGTAATCAGTGTGGTAAAACCTTTTACTTGTAACAGGAATCTTCAAAGTCAGAACACATACTAGAGAGAAACCCTGTGAACGCTATCAGTGTAGTAATGCCTTGCAAGTTGCAATAATCTTCAAACCATAAAAGAATACATACTTGAGGAGTACGTATGAATATGATCAATGTGATAAAACATTTGTATGTATCAGAAGTCTTTGAAGTCATGAGAAAATATACTGTAGAACCTCGATAGATCTTGTCAGTGTAGTAATTTTTTTCTATTTCATGGTAGTTTTTCTATAAGAATAAACTTTTAGTGTATAATCAGTGAGTTAAAGCCTGTTCTTATTACAGTGCTATTTGAGGACATGCAAAACCAATATCAAAGGTAATCTAAATATAAAAGATTTGGCAACATATTCGGCCTACATTCATTATTAAGTTACACATTGCTATTGTATCTGGTAAAAATATTCTGTCAAAATCAGCAAACTGTCTAAGCATTTTTATGTTTTTTTGTTTGTACCTGCAAACTCATATAAAGGAAAGCCCTACAGATTTTTTTTAAAAAAATGATGTAACCATTTTAGATTTCCAAATGCTCTTCCATTATATTAATTATCTAATCCAGCTGTAAGCATTTATGTATGTGTATTTTTGCCTTTTCTGTACATGTGATATAACATGCTTTGATCTAATTAATGTTAAAATACTTTATACTAGAAAATCTAGTAACTAAATACACTAAGTAAATAAACAAGTTAATAAGGAAACAATAAATATATCATGTGCATATTCAAAGCAGATATTCTTTGGTTGATATATAATGAAGTAAGTAAGATACTCAGCAATTAACTCTATATCTCACAACACAGCTTGATGTGCTATAGATTTGCATACCCTATTTAGTGTTCCCTTTTCAAATTCATATCCCCATTACTTTTCCATTTGTCACTTCATGTTTTTAATTATTTTCATTTGTCTATATATTTTTCTCTGCTCTCTTCCCTTTCTGTACCCTCATTTTCTACCCTCTCGCATGATAGGCATATTCACAATTAACTGGGGATTTTTTTAATGTTTTCTTTATTATATTTTACATTAGAGATTTGCCTGCATGTACACCTGCAGGCCAGAAGAGGGCATCAGATCTCATTAGAGATGGTTGTGAGGCACCATATGGTTGCTGGGAATTGAACTCAGGACCTTTGGAAGAGCAGTAAGTGCTCTTAACCTCTGAGCCATCTCTGCAGCCTGAGATCTTGATATTTTCTATTTTCGAAGTATATTAGATCCATGTATGTCTCTCTTGTGGCCCTCTTTGTTGTCTGTGTTCTCTTGCATTGTAAATTGCAGGCTGGTTTAACTTTGCTCTATATCTAAAAGCCACTCATGAGTGAGTACATATTATATTTGTCTTTCTGGGCCTGGGGTACCTCACTCAACATGATATTTCCTAGATCCATCCATTTACCCACAAACTTCAAGATATCATGGCTTTTTCTGCTGAATAGAACTCAACTGTAAATGTACCTCATTTTCCTTCTCCATTCTTTGGCTGACAGGCATTTAGTTTTTTTTCTAGGATCTGGCTATGAAAAATAATGCTGCTATGAGCGCACATCCTTGTGGTATAATTGAGCATCCCTTAGGTATATGCCCCAAAATGGAATTGCTAGATCTTGAAGTAGGTTGTTTCCTAATTTTTTGAGAAATCAACATTCCTTGTCAGTACCCTGTCCCTTTAGGAGACAAGCTCCACCCATTTCCAGTCTCTTTCTTCTCACTGGGGCAAGCTTACCTTGGACACCTTTGTCTCTGCCTGCCTTTCTTCTGAAGAGGCAAATCTGGGCCTCTCTCCTTTCTTTTATTTCTCTTTTCTCCTAACTCTCTGTCACCCTCTCTCCTCTCTGTCTCTTACACTGTCTATGTTTCTCTTCCTTTTTCTGTCCTACCCTACCAGTTTTTTATTCCTAAATAACACTTAAAACTTCGTCTGAGTTCATGCTTATTGAGGCAAAGTGTGATGTCTTACATCTGGGAAATGTCGTTGTGTGGAGGGGAAAATATTACTGTGGTTGGTTGTCTAAATACCTCATGTAGATTCACGTCTAATGTTTGTGGAGTGCAATCCTTTGGGTTGTGACCAATTCATTGGTTCAGTCTTTGTTTAAGCATTCCTCCTGAGTGCTGAAGATCATGCAGATGGCCAAATTCATTTTCCTTTCTATGTTCTCAAGACAAATTGAGCAGCTAGTCCACGTGGGCCACTTGGGTTAAAGGGGAAACTCAGACTCTTCTATCCCATCTTTTCACAGTTATCCATCAATGTTAGGATGAGTCAAAGGCACAGCTATATGTACAGTGGGTTCGTTTGACACCAACACAAAATCTTTTTCCACATTGACTCTCCTTGCTGTAGATTGAAAACTATTTCAATTCATTGCACGGGGTCTCTACTTCCTCCTTGAATAAGATAAGTGACTAAGGCCCATCATCCCCGGCCTCTTGATCCTTATTGAACCTCAAGGAAAAAGGGATAAATATTTTTTGTGTTAGTCACACTAAGCATAATAGAATATCCTCCGAGAATGATTTTGAAACACCCAAAATATCTGTTTTCACCATTTTGTTACCATTAACTACTGTTTAATATTTCAAAACCCAGAGGTAACACAATAAATTTTCATTTGGCCTGCAAAAGCCTGTCCTGGAAATACTTGCTATCTGAATGTGTGAATCTTAATAGAATGTATGGTCTCTAAATATCATCCTTTATGTACCTTAATCCAGTGACTTACACTCTCATTTCATTCCAGTAATAGGAATGCACCACGTGGTCTATGGCCATACCACCCTGAACGCGCCCCATCTCATCTGATCTCGGAAGCTAAGCAAGGTCGGGCCTGGTTTGTACTTGGATGGGAGGAATGTACCACTTGCTGGTCTTCAAATAATGGTTAGCATCAGTTAAGTACCAGAATGCTGAATAGACTCTGTGTATGACATAATGCAATGAATTCATATTTCCTAAGCACAATGTGCTCAACTAAACCTTAGAGCAAACACATACAGTACAGAGCATTGCTGCTCTAACTATCCTTTTGGATTTCTATGGGCATATGCAGGCATAGCAAGCACCAGCATATGATTACCAAAAAATTGTTAACTGGATGTGTCCAGCATCCAGTACAACACATCTAAGAAATCCCTTTTAAAACTAGGATTCTGCAGCTTACTATAGGAAGATCTTTACTCAGAGGGTCTATCTATCCTCTCAGTCGATATGCATTCCATTCGCTGTTTTTACCATGGAAAAATGCCCATTGAGAGTAGATACAAAATATGAATAATTTACCCACAAGCATCCTGATCCTATTCAGGCCTGCTTGGCATACTACTAGCCTTTGGGATGTTTTAGAGGCAGCCCTCCCTCAGGTGAATCCTATCTTGTGCCATTTAATATTTTCTAAGGGTTATTAACTCCTTTATACCAGCAGTTCTGCTCTTATACATTACAGATCAGCATAGGAGTTCCACCCAGATTGTGAGACGCAGTACTCAACCTCCACAAATATCTCCAAATTAATTTTATACCTAAATGTCAAATGAAAATGAATTATTTCTAGATGACACTTGAGCAACTAGACTTCTCCAAAAACAGCAACCTGCATGGGCCTCGTGATGTTTCTCTGAGACCCTGCTATATCGAGGGAAAATAGATCTCCTTTGAAACCAAGAATATGCTTGGAAGCTCTAGTAATGTCCTGCAACCATGGCCTTTAGTGAGGAAGGGTTTGCTTCAGGTCCTGCAAACGCAACATATTACAGGGAATGCCACTGTAGACTTGATTTTATTATAATCTCGAGTTACCATGTGTTTGATCAGTGCAGCATTCCTTGAATAGCCTCCTTCTGAATTTGAATACTTCCTTTGAGTACAGAAACCACAGGTTAACATTAACAAGAGACTTGTGGAATTGGGCTCAAATCTTCCAGGAACTCTGAGATAGGGGTGTGCTTAGAAAGGAAGCTCCACCTAAGAACCATTGTGCTGTGTTCCTTCTGCTCACTATGAATGTCACTCCGGCAAAAATAGCCAATCAGAGCCTTCCGCCGACCTGCCACTCAGATGGGAGGGTTCTTCCGGTTTCCAGGCTCCCGTGCTCTCTTGTGCAATTCAGAAGTTCGGCCAAATTCTGCTGCACTGTGGGATCCTTGTGCAGAGAGCATGGCTGAGCTCTGCAGCCAGGCCATGGTGAGATATGGGCATCTGTCCTCGGAGAAGGAAAAGTGGCAGGCCATGGTGAGTGACGCGCCACTGTCCCCAGACTGGTGGAGCAGCTGGCTGAAATACCGGAACCTATGTGCTGGGTCCTCCCTTGTTTGGGTGGGAGCTAGTGGGCACTTTGCTGAGTTCGGCATGTTTCTGCTTGGTTCTCCATGGTATCTATGTGATCGTTGTAATTCCCTGCGCTAAAAGAGCAGTCTCTGAATAATTTAACTCGTAGTCTGCATCCACGGAGAGCACTGGGAGTGGGATCGTGTTTAGAAAAGCCCTTTTTGTTGAATTTACTGTGCAATGTTGGTGCCTGTAGTGCTTGTATTGTACTATGGAACAAAGATTTGCCAAAGAGAAGCCAGGTCTCTCTAGTCTCTTCCAGAATTTCTGCACTAGTAAAATTGAACATTTAGCTTTATGATCCATCAGGATTTGATTGTTGTGATTGTTTGGAGTTTGTAAATGATACCCCCTGTATAGAGTAGCTTTCTATTGTTAAACAATTACAAAAGATTAGAATTGTGGGTGACAGAATTGATCATATATCAGGATCTACCAAATCTTAAAGAGGCATTAAGTCACATAAAGTAGAATTTAGCTAAGGGAGTACTGCCTCCAAAATACACTAAAGATAAGTAGTATGAGAACCACGCCTGTTAGAGATTATTAAGATAAAACGTAAATTTCCCCTATAGAGCTTTTATCTAGCAATCTATGGAGGCAGAGGCAGAGACCCACATCGAAGCTGTGGACTTAGCACCCAAAGTCCATTTGAAGAGTGAAAAGATGAGAATATGAACAACAAGGTCAAGACCATGATGGGTTCACCCATCTTGCATGAGCTGATGGGAGCTCACCAACTCCAGAGGAACAGGGAAGGAGGAAACATAGGACGAAACTAGTCCCTCTGAATGTGGTTGACAGTTGCTAGGGCAGACTGAGGAACCACTGGCAGTCGCCCCAGGACTTATCTCTATGTATTGGATTTGGGGGTCCTATTGTCTTGGGGTGTATACCTTGCACAGCCAATATTCACTAGGGAAGGCCTTGGAACTTTCCACTAGGCAATATGCCTTAGCCTCTCTGAGGATTAGATGGGGGTTGGGTGGGCGGGTGCATAGAGGGAATGGGAGGAGTGGAGCGAATAGTAACTTGGATCAGTTATTTTTAAATCTAATAAATTTGAAAATTAAAAACTGTAAAAGATTGTTCACCAGTATTCATCAGCCATTAATCGACATTCCCATAAGAAAAGAAAAAAATTGCTTAAGTGGACCAAAGCCATCCCTTCTCCATACCAAAGATCAGGCTTCCGGTACGCTGTCAACGGGCCATTATATGGTCACAATCATCATTAAGTTCCAATGTGCCATAAAATATACTAATTCTTGAACCACTTCATGTTAAACCTATTTGAAAAGCAGTTATGTGTTAAGGTCTTCAGTGTTCACTAAGATAGATTTGAACCCTGTTGTAGACCCACAGGGCATTGTCCTTGCTATCCCCCTGACTAACCATCCTAAATTTTGGGATTACACCATTGCCACACCACAGAGTTCTCAAATTACCAGTTGAAGTCATATCATGGGCTGTCCATTGCAGAAACAAAAAAAAAGAGGATTTGCATGTGGAGTGTGACTCTCCCTTCAGACCAGAAGAGGAAGGGCAGTGTCCTGTGGACAGGGCACTGAAGAACAGACTAGGCAATGCCTAGATCACAGAGCTCTAGATCATAGAGAAGGTCATGATGGGGCATGGCTAGTGACTGTCTGTGTAATTTCCCAGCATGTATTAAACCCTTCCATGTGAATAATGACAGATATTATTGATGGGCTTATAATACTGGGATAGTACCTTTAACCACTGAGTATTAGATTCCAAGTAGCTGACTCTCCCATGCAGATGTGTGCAATCCTGGGTGACACAGTTAAGTCTGCTGAGAGGTTTGAGACACAGGCCATTGGCTGTCACTCTTTGTCAGCTTATAGCAACTCAGCAACTAAAATTTTACATGGGACAAAGTCATACAGTCACACAGACAATGTTATGTCAATAAGGAAATTTCCTCCTCTTTTTCAAATTGAGTTTACCTAAGTACTCTTACAATACATTTAACTTTTTAACAAGTCAATTGTGGCAGAATTATTTAAATTTCATTTTAATCTATACTGCTCTAAACTCTATTGTTTCTATTTTACAACCTATCCCAGTCACTATGAATTTTATTATAAAATATCATATATACTCACACCTAATTGGCTTTTAAATACAAAGAAGAAAAAACATTTTTGAATAAATACCTAAAAGAGGTATTACTGCTCAATCGTGCCACAAAGACATGTGCTCAACTATATCATAGCAACATTGTTTGATTGTTTGTTATAGACAGAACCTGGAACGATGTCCCTCAGCTGAAGAATGGATGAGGAAAATGTGGTATATTTACACAATGGAGTACTACACAGCAAAAAAAATAATGACATCTTGAATATGGCAAAAAAAAATGGATAGAGCTAGAAAACATGATTATGAGTGAGGTAGCCCAGACCCAGAGAGACAATTATGACATGAACTCACTCATAAGTGTTTTTTAAACATAAAGTAAAGAAAACCAGACCACAAATCACAACCTCAGAGAACCTAGACAACAATGAGGACCCTAAGAGACATGTACATAGATGTAATCTACATGGGTAGTAGAAAAAGAAAAGATCTCCTGAATAAATTGGGATCTTAGGGAACTTGGGAGACTGTTGAAGGGGAGGGAAGAGGTAGGAAGTGGAACAGAGAAAACTGTAGAGCTCAATAAAAATCAATTAGAAAAACAACCTACAATCCCAGAAAACCTAGACAATAAGAAGGAGCCTAAGAGAGACCCACATGGGTCTTATCAACATAACAATTAGAAAAGAAAAGATCGCCTGCAAAAGTTGGTAGCTTGGGGACCATGGGAGTTTGAGAAGGGGAGAAAATTATATAGCTTGATTAAAAAAATAAAACCAAACGCTCACACACACTAGAATATTATCTTATTTTTATTAAGAACAAATTTATGTATTTATACATTTATATCATTTTAGTGTACTGGTTCTTAACATATAGGTCATAAACTTAGAGGCTCAAAAAACTTGACAAGGCTTCACCTATGTCCATCAGAAAACAAATTGTTTATTATACACCCTATAACTATAGCATACTTACACTTCTGTTTTGTAGAGACAATCAGCACTTGGTTGTTACAGAAGGCAGTTGTATGATGAAACAGAGAAAGGACATTTCAAGAGTTTAGCACCATTGAAGAGAAGGCTCAACCTCAGAATAGGATGCCTAGGAAGGCATCCTAAATGCCTTGAATTTATGTTACAAATAGAGAAAGACTTCCTTTGTCCAAGGAAACAACTTCATTCTGAATCTGCTGCAACTCTGTTCCAAGCATGGCATGGACCATTACAATGTAGACTCAACATTTGGGTGAACTTTTGAGGTTCTATTGGTCCAGTATACAAAAAAGATACAAGGTTACAGGTCATGGATTCTTAGTATGTGATTTCACTTCAGTTCTGTTACAGGCATCTGTGTTTGACAAAAATACATATTTAGACCTTGTCTGCCTTCAAAATATCAATCTAACACATAGAAAGAAAGATAGACCTGCTTCTGCCTTCTAAGTGCTGGTATTAAAGGCATGAGTCAATACCTGTTATAGCCTATTATATTTTGTTTTTAGTAATAGGTCAAACAGTTTCTCTGATGTTTACTGCAGACAGCATTTCTTTTGCAAGATGAATCTTATTTAAAGGTTGAAGAAATGACAGGGGTGAACTTCCTATTCAGTTTCATTCTGTAGTGATGTGGCGATGGCAAAATAAAGTTCCTCTCATGAAATAAATACGAGAAGCACCAGAATTAGAAGATCATACTGTATGCATTTACAATGTTGATGGTATCACACCTTTTGTTTTCCACATGTATGGGATATATAAGAATGCAGTGACCTATGATGATGTGCATGTGAACTTCACCCCGGAAGAGTGGGCTTTGCTGGACCCTTCCCAGAAGAATCTCTACAAGGATGTGATGCTGGAGACCTTCATGAACCTCACTGCTATTGGTAAGATGGTGAAATTTACTCACATTGTAACATAAGGGGACAAGTGTTTCCTTATTATTGAGGGTCTTTTGTAATGTGGATTGAAAAAGAGAAAGAATATGGTCAATAAATCATTCATGGTGCTAAGGTTCATTGAAGATAATAACTTAAAGTTTGCACAATTTCCAATCACATATCACATGTTTTCTGGTATTATTTTTAGGATGCACTTGGGAGGATCAAAATATTGAAGAGCATTCTCAAAGTTCTAGAGGACTTGGAAGGTAACTTGAATAAGCAAGATTATTTAAGTGTGTGTCTGAGAAAAGCTAAATGTGCCCTGGATTATTAAAAGAAATGCAGCGATATAAAGAAACAAGCTTAAAGTGTATTGATGTTATTAAATTCTTAAAAAGCCATACACCGCCGGGCGGTGGTGGCGCACGCCTTTAATCCCAGCACTCGGGAGGCAGAGGCAGGCGGATCTCTGTGAGTTCGAGACCAGCCTGGTCTACAAGAGCTAGTTCCAGGACAGGCTCCAAAACCACAGAGAAACCCTGTCTCGAAAAACCAAAAAAAAAAAAAAAAAGCCATACACCTCAATGTCCGTTAGGAAAGTAGTGTTTGCTAGGTGAGGACTAGGTGTTGTAGCCACCTCTGTGTGTCATGAGTCACTTCGCAAATGTAGTATGACTCGCACTCTTGTTTTTGATTCTCTGACTTTTGCTAGTTCTCTTTGCATTTGTGAAAAATCTCATACAAATATAAGATGTTCCAAAAGTAAACTATGTAATAAAGGCTCTTACCATCAAAGGCATCTTCAAAGATGCACAGCAACTTTAATAAAGGGAAAACATGAGATTACATGACATGATAAAAACCTAAGTTCTGATTTCTCTTCAAACATAGACCATGTCTTAGAAGCTAAGAGCACTGATGTCCTGAGTTCATATCACAGCAATTACATGGCCCACAACCATTGCTATTGAGATCTGATGCCCTCATCTGGCATGGAGGTGTACAGGCAAGAGGAACGTTCTAAAAGTAATTCATACAGATATAAGGATTTAAAGTGTAATGAATGTTTTAATGCTCTTATATGTGCAAGTCACCTTCTGAATATTTTAATGAGTTAAACTCTTTCCATAACAGTCACTTTGAAAGATATGAAAGAAGTTTTATAGAAGAGAACGCGTGTGAACGTACTCAACATGATGAAGCCATTGCATGTGCGACTCGACTACAAATACATAAAAGAACGCATACTGGAGAGAAACCCTATGGATGTAATCAGTGTGGTAAAGCTTTTACATATAACTGTCTTCTTCAAAGTCATCACAGAACGCATACTAAAGAAAAACACTATGAATGTAATCAGTGTGGTAAAGCTTTTACACATCCCAGTCGTCTTCAAGTACATAAAAGAATACATACTGGAGAGAAACCCTATGAATGTAATCAGTGTGGTAAAGCTTTTACACATCACAGTTATCTTAAAAATCATAACAGAACACATTGTGGAGAAAAACCCTTTGAATGTAATCAGTGTGGTAAAGCCTTTTTGTATCACAGTGGTCTTTGGAGGCATATAAGAAATCATACTGGAGAGAAACCCTATGAATGTAATCAGTGTGGTAAAGCTTTTCCATATAACTATCTTCTTCAAAGTCATAACAGAAAACATACTAAAGAAAAACCCTATGAATGTAGTCAGTGTGGTAAAGCTTTTACACGTCCCAGTGGTCTTCAAAAACATAAAAGAATACATACTGGAGAGAAACCCTATGAATGTAATCAGTGTGGTAAAGCTTTTACACATCACAGTTATCTTAAAAATCATAACAGAACACGTTGTGGAGAAAAACCCTTTGAATGTAATCAGTGTGGTAAAGCCTTTTTATATTACAGTGGTCTTCAGAGGCATATAAGAAATCATACTGGAGAGAAACCCTATGAATGTAGTCAGTGTGGTAAAGCTTTTACATTTCCGAGTAGTCTTCAAGAACATAAAAGAACACATACTGAAGAGAAACCCTATGAATGTAATCAGTGTGGTAAAGCTTTTACACATCACCGTTATCTTAAAAATCATAACAGAACACATTGTGGAGAAAAACCCTTTGAATGTAATCAGTGTGGTAAGGCCTTTTTGTATCACAGTGATCTTCAGAGGCATATAAGAAATCATACTGGAGAGAAACCCTATGAATGTAGTCAGTGTGGTAAAACTTTTACACATCCCAGTAGTCTTCAAGAACATAAAAGAATACATACTGGAGAGAAACCCTATGAATGTAATCAGTGTGGTAAAGCTTTTACACATCACAGTTATCTTAAAAATCATAACAGAACACATTGTGGAGAAAAACCCTTTGAATGTAATCAGTGTGGTAAGGCCTTTTTGTATCACGGTGGTCTTTGGAGGCATATAAGAAATCATACTGGAGAGAAACCCTATGAATGTAGTCAGTGTGGTAAAACTTTTACATTTCCCAGTAGTCTTCAAGAACATATAAGAATACATACTGGAGAGAAACCCTATGAATGCAATCAGTGCGGTAAAGCTTTTACACGATACAGTAGTCTTCAACAACATAAAAGAATACACACTGGAGAGAAACCCTATGAATGTAATCAGTGTGGTAAAGCTTTTACATATAACTATCTTCTTCAAAGTCATAACAGAAAACATACTAAAGAAAAACCCTATGAATGTAGTCAGTGTGGTAAAGCTTTTACACATCCCAGTGGTCTTCAAGAACATAAAAGAATACATACTGGAGAGAAACCCTATGAATGTAATCAGTGTGGTAAAGCTTTTACACATCACAGTTATCTTAAAAATCATAACAGAACACATTGTGGAAAAAAACCCTTTGAATGTAGTCAGTGTGGTAAAGCCTTTTTGTATTACAGTGGTCTTCAGAGGCATATAAAGAAAACACATAGTTCAGAGAAACCCTATTAATGTATCAGTGTGGTAAAGCCTTTTCATATCACAATAGTCTTCCAGAGCAAAAAAAAAAAAAAACACATAGTGCAGAGAAACCCTATTAATATAATCAGTGTCGTAAAGCTTTTACATGTCACAGGAATCTTCAAAGTCATAACAGAACACATACTACAGAGAAATCCTTTGAATGCAGTCACTGTAATGATGCCTTTTTAATTGCAATGATCCTTAGAATCATAAAGGAATACATACTTGAGGAATACATATGAATATGATCAATGTGGTTAAACATTTGTATGTATCAGAAGTCTTTGAAGTCATGAGAAAATATACTGTAAAACCTCGATAAATCTTGTCAGTGTAGTAATTTTTTTCTATTTCATGGTAGTTTTTCTATAAGAATATACTTTTAGTGTACAATTAGTAAGTTAAAGCCTGTTCTTATTACAGTACTATTTGAGGACATGCAAAAGCAGTATCAAAGGGAATCTAAATATAAAAGATTTGGCAACATATTCGGCCTACATTCATTATTAAGTTACACATTGCTATTGTATCTGGTAAAAATATTCTGTCAAAATCAGCAATCTGTCTAAGCATTTTTATGTTTTTTTTTGCTTGTACCTGCAAACTCATATGAAGGAAAGCCCTACAGATTTTTTTTCAAAAAATGAAGTAACCATTTTAGATTTCCAAATGCTCTTCCATTATATTAATTATCTAATCCAGCTGTAAGCATTTATGGATGTGTATTTTTGCCTTTTCTGTACATGTGATATAACATGCTTTGGTCTAATTAATGTTAAAATACTTTATACTAGAGAATCTAGTAACTAAATACACTAAGTAAATCAAGAAGTTAATAAAGAAACAATAAATATATCATGTGCATATTCAAAGCCAGATATTCTTTGGTTGACATATAATGAAATAAGATACTCAGCAATTAACTCTATATCTCACAACATAGCTTGATGTGCTATAGATTTGCATACCCTATTTAGTGTTCCCTTTTCAAATTCATAACCCCATTACTTTTCCATTTGTCACTTCATGTTTTTAATTATTTTTATTTGTCTGTATATTTTTCTCTGCTCTCTTCCCTTTCTGTACCCTCATTTTCTACCCTCTCGCATGATAGGCATATTCACAATTAACTGGGGATTTTTTTTAATATTTTCTTTATTATATTTTATATTACAGAGTTTTGCCTGCATGTACATCTGCAGGCCAGAAGAGGGCATCAGATCTCATTAGAGATGGTTGTGAGGCACCATATAGTTGCTGGGAGTTGAACTCAGGACCTTTGGAAGAGCAGTAAGTGCTCTTAACCTCTGAGCCATCTCTGCAGCCTGAGATCTTGATATTTTCTATTTTCGAAGTATATTAGATCCATGTATGTCTCTCTTGTGGCCCTCTTTGTTGTCTGTGTTCTCTTGCATTGTAAATTGCAGGCTGGTTTAACTTTGCTCTATATCTAAAAGCCACTCATGAGTGAGTACATATTATATTTGTCTTTCTGGGCCTGGGGTACCTCACTCAACATGATATTTCCTAGATCCATCCATTTACCCACAAACTTCAAGATATCATTGCTTTTTCTGCTGAATAGAACTCAACTGTAAATGTACCTCATTTTCCTTCTCCATTCTTTGGCTGACAGGCATTTAGTTTTTTTTCTAGGATCTGGCTATGAAAAATAATGCTGCTATGAACACACATCCTTGTGGTATAATTGAGCATCCCTTAGGTATATGCCCCAAAATGGAATTGCTAGATCTTGAAGTAGGTTGTTTCCTAATTTTTTGAGAAATCAACATTCCTTGTCAGTACCCTGTCCCTTTAGGAGACAAGCTCCACCCATTTCCAGTCTCTTTCTTCTCACTGGGGCAAGCTTACCTTGGACACCTTTGTCTCTGCCTGCATTTCTTCTGAAGAGGCAAATCTGGGCCTCTCTCCTTTCTTTTATTTCTCTTTTCTCCTAACTCTCTGTCACCCTCTCTCCTCTCTGTCTCTTACACTGTCTATGTTTCTCTTCCTTTTTCTGTCCTACCCTACCAGTTTTTTATTCCTAAATAACACTTAAAACTTCGTCTGAGTTCATGCTTATTGAGGCAAAGTGTGATGTCTTACATCTGGGAAATGTCGTTGTGTGGAGGGGAAAATATTACTGTGGTTGGTTGTCTAAATACCTCATGTAGATTCACGTCTAATGTTTGTGGAGTGCAATCCTTTGGGTTGTGACCAATTCATTGGTTCAGTCTTTGTTTAAGCATTCCTCCTGAGTGCTGAAGATCATGCAGATGGCCAAATTCATTTTCCTTTCTATGTTCTCAAGACAAATTGAGCAGCTAGTCCACATGGGCCACTTGGGTTAAAGGGGAAACTCAGACTCTTCTATCCCATCTTTTCACAGTTATCCATCAATGTTAGGATGAGTCAAAGGCGCAGCTATATGTACAGTGGGTTCGTTTGACACCAACACAAAATCTTTTTCCACATTGACTCTCCTTGCTGTAGATTGAAAACTATTTCAATTCATTGCACGGGGTCTCTACGTCCTCCTTGAATAAGACAAGTGACTAAGGCCCGTCATCCCCGGCCTCTTGATCCTTATTGAACCTCAAGGAAAAAGGGATAAATATTTTTTGTGTTAGTCACACTAAGCATAATAGAATATCCTCCGAGAATGATTTTGAAACACCCAAAATATCTGTTTTCACCATTTTGTTACCATTAACTACTGTTTAATATTTCAAAACCCAGAGGTAACACAATAAATTTTCATTTGGCCTGCAAAAGCCTGTCCTGGAAATACTTGCTATCTGAATGTGTGAATCTTAATAGAATGTATGGTCTCTAAATATCATCCTTTATGTACCTTAATCCAGTGATTTACACTTTCATAACTTTCCAGTAATAGGAATGTACCACTTGCTGGTCTTCAAATAATGGTTAGCAACAGTTAAGTACCAGAATGCTGAATAGACTCTGTGTATGACATAATGCAATGAATTCATATTTCCTAAGCACAATGTGCTCAACTAAACCTTAGAGCAAACACATACAGTACAGAGCATTGCTGCTCTAACTATCCTTTTGGATTTCTATGGGCATATGCAGGCATAGCAAGCACCAGCATATGATTACCAAAAAATTGTTAACTGGATGTGTCCAGCATCCAGTACAACACATCTAAGAAATCCCTTTTAAAACTAGGATTCTGCAGCTTACTATAGGAAGATCTTTACTCAGAGGGTCTGTCTATCCTCTCAGTCGATATGCATTCCATTCGCTGTTTTTACCATGGAAAAATGCCCATTGAGAGTAGATACAAAATATGAATAATTTACCCACAAGCATCCTGATCCTATTCAGGCCTGCTTGGCATACTACTAGCCTTTGGGATGTTTTAGAGGCAGCCCTCCCTCAGGTGAATCCTATCTTGTGCCATTTAATATTTTCTAAGGGTTATTAACTCCTTTATACCAGCAGTTCTGCTCTTATACATTACAGATCAGCATAGGAGTTCCACCCAGATTGTGAGACGCAGTACTCAACCTCCACAAATATCTCCAAATTAATTTTATGCCTAAATGTCAAATGAAAATGAATTATTTCTAGATGACACTTGAGCAACTAGACTTCTCCAAAAACAGCAACCTGCATGGGCCTCGTGATGTTTCTCTGAGACCCTGCTATATCGAGGGAAAATAGATCTCCTTTGAAACCAAGAATATGCTTGGAAGCTCTAGTAATGTCCTGCAACCATGGCCTTTAGTGAAGAAGGGTTTGCTTCAGGTCCTGCAAACGCAACATATTACAGGGAATGCCACTGTAGACTTGATTTTATTATAATCTCGAGTTACCATGTGTTTGATCAGTGCAGCATTCCTTGAATAGCCTCCTTCTGAATTTGAATACGTCCTTTGAGTACAGAAACCACAGGTTAACATTAACAAGAGACTTGTGGAATTTGGCTCAAATCTTCCAAGAACTCTGAGATAGGGGTGTGCTTAGAAAGGAAGCTCCACCTAAGAACCATTGTGCTGTGTTCCTTCTGCTCACTATGAATGTCACTCCGGCAAAAATAGCCAATCAGAGCCTTCCGCCGACCTGCCACTCAGATGGGAGGGTTCTTCTGGTTTCCAGGCTCCCGCGCTCTCACGTGCAATTCAGAAGTTCAGCCAAATTCTGCTGCGCTGTGGGATCCTTGTGCAGAGAGCATGGCTGAGCTCTGCAGCCAGGCCATGGTGAGATATGGGCAGCTGTCCTCGGAGAAGGAAAAGTGGCAGACCATGGTGAGTGATGCGCCACTGTCCCCAGACTGGTGGAGCAGCTGGCTGAAATACCGGAACCCATATGCTGGGTCCTCTCTTGTTTGGGTGGGAGCTAGTGGGCACTTGCTGAGTTTGGCATGTTTCTGCTTGGTTCTCCATGGTATCTATGTGGTCCTTTAATTCCCTGTGCTAAAACAGCAGTCTGAATAATTTATCCACGGAGAGCACTGGGAGTGGCATCGTGTTTAAGAAAAGCCCTTCTTATTGAGTTTACTGTGAAATGTTGGTGCCTGTAGTGCTTGTATTGTACTATTGAAAGACCCTCTGGATACCCCCCCCCCCCCGAACCCGCAGCTGGCCTGCTCCCATGAGAACATCCTGTTTGCTTGAGACCCTCAGGACCCTCTCAGGACCTGCAGCTAGCCGGCTCTCATGAGAACATCCCGTTTGCTTAGGGAAACAGGATGCCTATAGTCAGCACATGTGCCAAACTTAGAATATCAGCAGTTCACAAAAGAAACAATTCCCCCTATGAAAGATCCCAGCTTGACAAGGCTTTTGACGAACAAATGTAAGTGCAGAGTGAGGTCAGGGTCCCTGGCTGCAAAGCAGGATATCTATAAAATAGGACCATCTGTAAAGCAGGATATCTATGAGATATGACGTCTATACAACAGGATGTCAGTGGCCATACATCTGTGCTGGGAAAGGAAAAACCAAAAGAGGAACAGGATATCTGTTGCCATACATCTGTGCTGGGAAAGGAAAAACCACCTATGCCCCTTGTCTCATTCCAACCGACCACTAACCACGCATTTGCTTCTGTAATCTGCTTCTGCTGCCCTCTTTCCTATAAAAAGACCTCCCCCCAGTCTGCAGGCCAGCAAGTCCTCCTAAAGACTTTGCCGCCTGCAGGTACCTGTGTTTACTCAATAAACCTCTTGCTAATTGCATCCTGTGGTCTGGACTCGGAGTGTCCTGGTTCTGGGGACTTCATTGGAGGAAAGGTCCTCTCTGAGGGTCTTTCATTTGGTTCATTGGCCGGGAATTGAAGACCCCCACCCAGGAGCTACCAGCTCACCACTGGGAGGTAAGCTGGCCAGCACCGATTCGTTAGTCTTTGTGTTTGTCTGTGTCCGTTTCTACTAAACTTTGTAGATCTGAGTGCTCCGAATTTGGCGAGAAGGAAAGAGGCTGACGGGCCTGGACTTTCCCTCGCAGCCCTAGAAGATGTTCCAGGGAATTTGGTACCCGATTTTTCGGGGCTTGGCCAGTATCAGAAGGATACGTGGTTTTGATTGGAGGAGGGGAATCCGGACCCCCACTGCCTTCATTTGAAATTTTACCTTCAGCATTACGCTGAAACCGTGCCGGCGCATCTGTATTGTCTATGTATTTTTGTGCTTAATATGTTCTTTGTTTTGTATATCTGTTTGTACTCGAGTCTAAATCTGGTACCATGGGGCAGTAAGTAACCATCTCTTTGATCCTAACTCTGTGAAAATCCAAAAGGAACACTGACAGTCTGCCCCTCCTTCACTTCTCTAGGCTGTGCCTTGCTGAGGCTGTGCCGCTGAACTGCCCTGCTTGCTGTCGCGATAGGGGAGGGAGCAGGGCTGGTGATCTCCTGTGGCACAGCCTTGAGCCAGGCCTAGGCGGGGCAACCAGCTCCAGCTCTGAGCAAACTTCTCAGCAGGGCGCAGTCCAGCTGCGGCCGCCTTAGCTGTTACCATGGGCAAAAAGGCAGGTCCCCGGAGGATTCGCCTCGGGCTCCAGCTACAGTTGCCCAGGCGAGGAGCCTCTGCTTTGGGCGCCTATGCAGAGACGTTTGAACTCCTTAGCATCATCACAGGAGCCCAGGGAGCATAACTCTCCCCTCAGTGCCAGGTCCTGGGGTGACACTGAGCCTCTGCCACACCCCACTCCACAGGGGAGCTCACTAATGGGAGAGCCCTCTTAGCTGTGTCAAAACCAAAGGCTTTAGCTCCCTTAGACGCGCTGCTCGGGAATAGCCCAGCTAATGACTAGTTGGGCCGTGTAATCCTGCCCACCTCTGCTCACAATTAGCTCTCCCTGCTTCATCAGGTAGAGACTGGGGTCGGAACATCCACGAGAAGGGAATGCTTGCCCCCCTGAAATCCCTGTGCTGAAAGTGACGTCCTCCCTTGCTGACCTGAAGTCCACCAGCACCGCACATGAGGACTGGGGGAGGAGGGCTGCCTTAGACAGTCCAGGGTGTTCCCTCCCCCATAGCCAATGCAAAGGTCTTCCCAGCTGCTACTGGCAGTGTGAGGGCTAAAGAGGAGCCTCCATGGTGGCCGATGTGGCATCCCCGAGGAACTGAGTTGAGGCTTCCAGATGGCCGGCCAATCCTGACCTGAGGAGTTCCCTGGAGGGAATGCCTCCTGGGGCCTCTGGAATCCCATTCAGAGAAAAGCTGCTAGGTTGCTGTGAGTACTGAGGTGGGGATGGGGGAAGCTTGTGTTATACAGCTAGGAGCTCACTGTGGACAGAGCTGAGGCTGGAGCCAGGTCCTGGGAGGATCCCCAGTGGGGTTCCCTGTGGGGGAGGCTCGTTTTCCTTGGAAAATAAAGTGCTAGGGACTGAATGGCAGCCTCCCCTCTACAAATGCCATGTAAAGCCTTGTGCCAAAGATCTGTGGCTTCCTGGACCTTTTTATTTTGGCAGTAGGGCAAGAGATTGCAAGTAAATATCCCTGTGGCTGTTGGTAAATGGCGAATGTGGATTCAGAAATGGCAGGTAGTGGAGTAAGCTGACATTAAAAGGGCCTACCAGCCCTGATAGCATCTCTCTTCTGGGGATGCTCTGTTCCAGTCATCATGTGCTGCATCCAGGGTAAACGCCTCTGGTTTAAAAATTGGGAAAATTAAATTGAGTCACTTTAAAATAATGTACTTATAAAAAACTACAGATTGTTGGTTTCTATATTTCTTACTATGCAGTGTGTCCAGAGGAAAGTAAATTCCCAGCTCTGTTTAGATGGGTACAGGACTACACTGTCTTCAAGAACTATTGCTGTAAAAGCCCTGGCCCAGGGCCAGGGCCATATGAACAGCCCAGCTGAGCTTCTAAGCCAGCCCATTTTTAGATCTGAATTTAACACTTGTCTGCTCACAATGCTTGTGATAAGGTGGGGACCCTGAGTTGCCCCACATGGCAAAGATCTGCTAAAGCCTCTCACCCCACTACAATGGCAAAAGGGGTGTTACTGAATGATAAGGTTGAGTTAAAATGGCCCTTTTGACTCTTCATAATGTTTAAGGCTATTTAAAAAAAAAAAAACATGGCGAAGATTCTCATTTATTATTAATATAAAAAAGGTGCATTTTGGGTTGTTTTCAGATTCTGTCTATGATAATATAAAGGATGTCGCTAAGTTTTAAGGTAATATGTTATCTAATTCTGAAAATCCACCATGCTAATGTTCAAAGTAGCTGTAAGCTTAAATTGTCAAATGATATTTTTAATCTTGGTCAGTTTTACAGGAATAAGATAAAATCTCAGAATTGTTTAATTTGCATTTCCCTGATGATTAAGGATGTTATATTTAAGCAAATTTTAAATATCTTTCAGTCGTTTCAAGTTCATTTGTTGAGAATTTACAGTTTTGGTCTGTGACGTAATTGTACTAAAATATTTGTTTTTATGAGGATTAAGTTCCTAAGTTCCTTATATGTTTCATGATGCCTCCCCATTCTACAGGCTGATATTATGTTCCGTTGATTATATCCTTTGCTATACAAAAAGCGTCTCAGTCTAAAAATCTTATTTATTGATTGTTTCTCTCAATGTCTATGCCACTGAGGCTGTGTTTAAAAATGAATTTTAAACTTTTTTTCCCTTCTATAAAGTTCAATATTGTTGGTTTTATGTTAAGGCCTTTGATTTGTTTGGATTTCAGTTTTGTGCATAGAGATAAATATGGATCTATCTTCATTCTTCTACATGATAATGTCTAATTAATTCTTAAAGGGAGAAACTGACAGTCAAAATGCTGGGCTCATGGCAAACCTCGGGGGGGGGGGGGCTGCAAGGCACCCCACTAATTCGGCCAAGGTAAGAGAGGTTCTCCAGGGGCCAGTTAAAATCTGTGTTCCTTAAATGATTAATAAAAGTTTACAGGCATTTTACCCAACCTCTGAAGGTCAGCAGACAGCAGTAGCCATGGCCTACATAGGACAGACAACATCAGATATAAGAAAAAAGTTACAGCAAGTAGATAGGTCACAAGATTATACCTAATAAAATTTAAAGAGACAGAAAAAAAATGTTAAAAACGAGGGAGAGAAAAAGGGAAGCGAAAGAGAGAGAGGCGGGAAGCAAAAGAAAGACAGGACTCACAGATAAGGAGCCTGGGAAACAGAAGATCAAAGACAAATGAAGAGGGTCACAAGAACTGAGTACTCTATGTTAAAACAACCATTGAAAAAAATTAAAAATATAAACTGGACACCTTACGAACTACAAATAAATGACTCGTTCCTCCCTGGTCACTTCTGAATGTATGATCAAAGCCTTTTGTTGCCCAAACAGAGGGACTTTTGCTTTCACTGCTGTTCTCAGTGCTGCAGGAGACGCAGGCTGCTTGTCTGCCTCTACCACGCCCTCCTCACCAGGATGACCACCTCCCCCTGCCATCACCGCTGAAGAAATCCTCACCTCCTAGCAACTGCCTTGGTGCTGTGCTTGCTCTAAAGCCTGCATGAACCCTGACTGCTCACTCTACAGTCTCGCTCCCCTCACCCATGTCAGACTACGATACAGCAATCACAATGCTACCACAGGTGCCCTCCTGTGCCAGACTACTGCTCCTGTGCTGGGCTGACGTCGATGGACTATGGATCCTACCAGCATCTGCATAAAGGACAGGCGGCTGGCAAAATGGCAGCCTAAGCTGTGCCAGGCAGAGCCGAAAATGAGGGCGAAGCTTGCCAGGGGCACAAGGCTGGCGGTCCGAGCTGAGCAGGTACACAAGACTGAAGGTAACCGGAAGGCGGGGG